CAAACAGAAATACAGGAATTGCCTGAGCAGTCTGAGAACAAAGAGAAAGACAGGAATTGCCTGAGTAGGCTGAGAGTAGTCAAAGAGAAACACAGGAATTGTGTGATCAAGCTGACAACAGTCAGAGAATTACAGGAATTGTGTGAACGTGAGGAAGCTATTCAAAGAGTAATACAGAAAGATCTTCACTAGCCATAGACAAGGGTCTCATACCTAAAATATTCCTGAACTTAAAACATTAAAGCCCCCAACAACAATCCTCAAAGAAACAACGGCCGAATAAATAAGTGGGCTAGAGTCTTACAGAGAAACTTCTCTGAAGAGGAAAGAAGGATGGCTAATAGACACATGAAGAAATGGTCAACCTCCCTATCCATAAAATGCAAATCAATACAACATTAAGTTTCTGCCTCACCCTAGTTAGAATGGCTATAATCAAGAACTCTAATAACAACAGATGCTGGAGGGGATGTGGACAGAAGGGGACCCTACTGCATTATTGGTGGGAGTGTAAACTTATTCAACTACTTTGGAAAGTAGTATGTAGGTTCCTCAAAAGACTCCACATAGAGCATCCCTATGACACAGCGATGCCACTTTTGGGTATTTATCCGAATGATCACAAACAAGACCATACTAAAGCGACTAGCACAACAATGTTTATTGCAGCTTTATTTACATAGCTAAGGTATTGAACCAACCCAGATGCCCCTCTGTAGATGAAAGGATCAAGAAAATATATATACACATATATACATACATATATATACATACATATATACATATACATATATATGTTATATATACATATATATGTATGTATATATGTAATATATACATACATATATATGTATGTAGATATGTTATATATATACACAGTGGAATTATATGCCTCCATTAGAACAAATGGCATTGCCCTGTTTGTTAGGAAATGGAAAGACTTGGAAAAATTATATTAATTGAAGTAAGGCAGGCTCAAAGAAACATAGTCACAGGGTTTCCCTTATTTGCAATAACTAGTATATGTCTGAGAAAAGCAGAATTGGTCAGGTGATTTGATGTTAGGTGAAATGAACCCAATCCTCTGCTCCCCCAAGTCCCCTTCTAGAAGTAAATCCCCTTAGTTTGGCACATTTCAAGAACCTCCTCCCCATTCCCTCCCACAATGACCAAATTCTTATTTCCCTTAAAGCTTCTCACATACCTTTTTTAACCCCAAATGAGTATCTCCTCTTTCCTGCTACCTGCTGAGGGCTAAAGTCCATTATCCTTCAGCTTCTTTCTGCCTCTCTCCTAATTCCCATTCACTCTCCCACAAAACCCCATATTAGGAATAAAAAAAATCCTAATGGCTCCTACTGCTTGCTTCAGGACCCTGAAAAAATAATCAGAGTCATCTCATCTGTTCTCATTTATCCTATCCTTGTGTTCCACATCTTCTCCAACTCCCCAGTCTTTTCAGTTTTTGATTTAAACGACACCTTCTTTATTATCCCCTGACACATCACCTCAAGGCCCATCTTTGCCTTCACCTAGGAAAGACCCAGATACTCTCCAGGCTCAGCAAATAACCCAGACAGTATTGCCTCAAGGATTTAGAGACCGCCACCATTATATTGACCAAACCCTACAATAGGACTTGACCAATTACAACCTGTCCCCTAGTTTTCTTCTTCAATATGACCTCCTTCTTTTCAGCCTTTCAGCTGAGCCAAATATCAAACAACCTGATCATTAGTTGTTCAAAGGTTCTATATCCTCTGAATCCTCCCCTAAGTGTACCATCTTTAGTTAATTATTTGTATGTTTATAGTTAGACTTAAATTCTGGAAACTAGCAAAATCTGCCATACTGTTACATATATAACACATATTGTTTGTAATAAATATGCAAAGATACAAAATCTCTACTTCAATTTAATTATTCTTCAGTTTGTTCTCATTTCATTCTCCCCTCCAGCATTACAGTGTTAAATCAGTCTTTCTAAAGCATTGCTTTGATTTCTCTTATCACCTGATTTTAAAAAAGTAATGATTTTCTATCACCTGAACTTTTCTTTCTTCAGATCTACAGCTTTTCCTCCAGCTTTTTCTTTGCTGTGGTTTGAATGTGTCTTCTCCAATATGACAGTAGTAAGAGGTGAAGCCTTTCCAATTTGATTAGGAAATGGAGGGACAAAGTGAACAAATGCAGCAGTTGTGGCAAAGGAACTATATAACTTGTGTGTGGGAAAAGAGGGAGAAACTGGGAAAGAGCAAGGAAAAAGGTGACATTGTCCAAAAAGAAATGTATTTTTGAGACGACCCAGGATCCAAGACTTGGCAAGATGGCAGAAGGAAGTGCAACGGCTCCGTGGAGAGCAACGGTGAGCGTGACGGCGGACGCCAGGGAGCGTCTTCCAAGGCTAACTAGGCTATCCCCGGGTTTTCATGAAGATCTTTAACAAGGGAAAGTAATCTGCACACAGCCCCCTAAAATCAGCATTAAAAATCAGCCTGGTGTGTACTGCTGGTGAAGCAGCCGCCTGGAAGATGCCATGAGTGCCACCATTTTACCTCATGCTCGAAATATCAGACACTGGTCCAGGGACACGGTGTTGGGGCCTGGACGCACTCCTTTTGTCTCATAGTGCCCCTATCCACTCAGAGAGATCCACTGAGCTTAACATCCTGATGCTAAGCACCAAGGGATAGCCAAGCAATACCAATAATGTAAAGATGGTGGCTTGCTTGCCAAGTGACTCATTCTTCAATGTTGGCTCATAATATAGGGCTTTGTTTAAATGGGGGGAAAAAATCTGCTCCATCAGCTGCATGGCAGTGATGGACTAAATAGCAGGAAGAATAAGATTACCATCTTACACACACACACACACACACACACACACACACACACACACACGCCTTATTCTCTAGGGACATTATTCCCAATGAATACTAATGAATAAATAAATTGGAATCTGTAAAAGGTATCAATTCAACCGTTTGATATTTGATATTGATAGTTATCATTTAAAAAGAATTATTTAAGAAACATAAAAATGTGACTCTGAATGTGCCTAGATAGGGAAGCGTGATGTGCAGATATATTTTACATGACTTATTTTCAATTAAATTGTTTGGACTGCACTTTTAAAATAGTTCCAAATGACAAACGTGATGGATGTTTTCTTTATCATGAAGGAAATAATTGCCAGATATTTAGGTCTCTGAATATTTGTTTTGAAATCTCACTCAAAAGAGATTTAGCCCCAATGCCTCCACAAAATGATTTAATGAATATTTATTGAAGAACTGTGGTGAGTTGTGCTATAAGTATATTGGGAAGAAATATGGAGCATAAATGTAATCTATTCGCTGTTTATAAAAATAAATAAAAGATGATCATGACTACTGTTAAAATCTACAAAAAAAAAAAAAAAGAAATGTATTTTTACCTGACTTCTGTAACTGTAACCCCCCATATATCCCCTTTGTAATAACCATAAACATTTTTTAAGTTGACAAAAGTAATAAATACCTTTTAAGAATTAGTAAAAAAGTAAATACCAAGCATTCCACTCCCCTTCTTAACCCTCTTGCTTCTTGGGGCTACAGAGCCTTGAAATACTCTACTCAGTTGTGCCAGATTTTAGTCACACCTAGGGGTCATTATTTCTCATCAGGGATGAGCTATACCTCCCTGCACAATTCAGGACCTCCTCAATTACCACCTGTCTCTGTCCAACGAAGAGCATCTGGCCCTTCTTGGCCTTCTTTAACTTCTTTCACCTCTGGATTCCCATTTTTTTCCCTTATAGACTTTCCCTTGCACTCTGTCACCAAACGGTCCCTTTTCATTCAGCATGATTGCCAGTAGTGTTTCTAAAGCATTTTGAGAACTATCCTCTAGGTTTTTCATTGACTGCTCTGTTGCCAATTCCAAGTGGGATAGAACAAGCCATAGAAACACAAGATAAATGGCAAGTGAAGGAGCCTCAACTCCAAACAAGGAGGCAACAGACTCTGATTTCTTCAAGGAGCCTTCTGAATGGTTGAACTGTTCCTTCTCTTGTACTATTTAAAGATCATGGCCATATATTGAGTCTGAGCATGATCTAATGTATTTCCCCCTCTTTGGGGATCCCTTTCTTTTTGCTATCTATTAATATTTAGGATCCTTAGAGACTGAGGTGACAAGGCTAAACTCAGACCATCATGCACTAGATACCTTCAACTTCCCGTGAGGAATAATGACCAATAATCAAACTATTCCTCCAGTGGTTCATCTTAAGTCACGTTGATGCCCTGGCCCTTTTTGCCAGAAAAAAGTACTCATAGAGATTCCCATGGGAAACTAGTGCTGCTTAATACCCTGATCTAAATTTCTGAAGGAGGTGAAAGAGAATGTGAAAGAGAGAGAGAGAGAGACAGAGAGAGAGAGAGAGAGAGAGAGAGAGAGAGAGAGAGAGAGAGAGAGAGAGAGAGAGAGAGAAAGAGAGAGGGAGAGAGGGAGGGAGGGAGGAAGGTATGGAGGAGGAGAGGGAGAGAGAAAGATGTACAGAGGGGGTGAGGGAGAGAGGGAGAGGTATTTCCTAGGAAAATACACTCAGTAATATTGCAGAACAGTAAATATTTGAACAGAAATACACAACTAGCTCAGAAAATATTCTCAAGTAACTGTAATCAAAGTATGGAAACTTTCATCAAAATGAATGTTCATATATCAGTGAACTGAGCAATATAGTGATATTAAAGCATCATTATAGCCTGCATATAGGGAAAGGAAGAATCACAGTAGATTGGTAATTAAAAGGACGACTGATAGCATAAAAGGAAGATTACATTGGAGGAAACAAAGGATATCCAGGAGGAAATACAAATTTAGACAGTCTAGTTGGAATCTTGCTCTAACTCTAACACAACCCACAAAATGAATGAGTTCAAATGGTTATTGACTGCCCAAATTGTATGGATTTGTCTCAGAACCTCCAAGCATTCTAGACAAAATTTATGTCCATCTTAAGATTTATTTCTTTCAGTTGTTCTCTCCCTACACCTGTGCAGTGAATTTCTCTCAGGTCTTATCAAGACAATGTAACACTTGGGGGCAAAGATGCAGCTCAGGAGGCCTCCACTGGGGGCCAAGATGAAGACCTCCACGGCCACCATGACCTTCACCTTGGTGCTATGGTAGACAGGCAGGAAGGTGAGCCACATACTGCAGAACATCAGCATGCTGAAGGTCAGGAACTTGGCCTCATTGAAGGTGTCAGGCAGGTTCCTGACCAGAAAAGCCACAGTGAAGCTGGCCAGGGCCAGGGCACCCAGGTATCCCAGGACAGAAAAGAAAGCGGTGAGAGAGCTCATGTTGCACAGGATGATGATGTGGCCATGTTCAGAGTGTGCATCTATGTCCACAAAAGGAGGAGAGATTCCCAGCCAGAGACCACAGAGAGTCACTTGGATGAGAGTGCAGATGGTGATGATGAGGTTAGGAGCCCCGGACAACAGCCACAGTCTCATGCTTCTCCCTGGATCAGTGAGTGTGAAGGCCAGAAGCACAGTGATGATCTTTGCTGGGACCGTGGAGACAGCCACGGTGAAGACCACTGCGAATGTGGTGTGCTGCAGGATGCAGGTGGCTGTGTTGGGACGGCCAAGGAAGAGCAAGGAGCAGAGGAAGCAGCAGGTGAGGGAGATGAGCAGGATGTAGCTGAGTGCCCGGTTATTGGCCTTGACAATAGGGGTGTCTTGGTGCTTGATAAACCCCCCAAGAACAGCAGCTGTTAGTGCAGAGCAGCAGAGAGCCATGCAGACCAGGGACAGGCCCAAGGGGTCTTCATAAGCCAGGAAGCCCTCAGTTTTCATGAGGCAGTGGTTTCTCTGGGTGTTGGCAAATTGATGATCTGCACACCTGACACACGGCTCCATGTCTGATGAGGAGTGAGAATCACTATTAGTCTGGTTTCCATATTTCTCTTTCCTCACATCCTCCTCTACTTAAGCAGCTCATTTCCCCTGATTCACCAGTTAACCTGTATTGCTCTCAATACCAACTAGTATAACTCTCTGTATCAAAATACGTTCACCTGAATTCTCTTTCTTTCACACATTTCTTCTTCTTTCCTTCTTCCCTTTCTCTTTTTTCTGTTTATTTCGCTTCCTTCCTTCCCTCCCTCACAACCTCACATCACCCTCGTCTCTCTCTCTTTCTTTCTTTCTTTTTTCTTTCTTTTTCTGTCTGTCTGTCTGTCTGTTTGTCTTTCATCCAGTGCTTGAACTCTGCCCCTAGGAATTTTTCCAGAGTATTCATTCTCAAAACTACCCCTCTACCACTTGACTAACAGCTCAAATTCCAGCTCTTTTGGTGCTTAATTGTGGAAAAGATTTTTACTGAGTTTCCTGCTCATCATTGCAATGAAGCTCCATCCTCAAATCTCAATTGCCTGAGTCACTTGGATTACAGGTGTAATATATAATTACCTAGCCATCCTGCTGCATTCTTGACAGGCCATACCACTCTGGCTCTCTGCTACTCATTCAAGAAATAATGGAAAATATAGAATCAGCCCAAGCACTTCAATTTAAAAAGAAGTTTTAATCCTAAACTCAACCTACTACTTACCCCAAACAAACTTTCTGAGCATTTGATCTATGGGAGGAGGAGTTGGGGAGGTTGGAAGGAAGAGATGGTAAGAGAAAAACAAAGGAGGAGGCAACAATACTCAATAAGAAATGTACTCATTTCCTTACCGATGTAAATGTAACCACTCTGTACAGGATTTTAACACTAAAAATGTATTAAAGAAAGAACAATGCTCCTCCACTGATATGAGAGGATCTCAGAAAGCTCAGCTTGAGGAAGGAGAAGAGACACGAAATGGAGATGGTGAACTACTTCTGAATCAATGGTATTTGAGTAATTGCTAGTCAACCTAGTGCCAGTGTCAGATATGGAGTGATCATAACAAAAAAAACAAAACAAAAAAGCCCAAAAGCCCCTTGTATTATTAGGTGTGCTAAATAGAAAATAACATTTAATTAGGAAAGAGTGGCAATGAGCATTCACAAATGAAATTCTGTTACATCCACAATTCCATTTAGATTTGCATGTCATTTCAACCATCAACAACTAATCCTTGATATTTTCTTTTTTATATACTTTCTTTACATACAAAAACATGTGACTAAGGAGAGGGGAACAGGGTATTGTAATGGAGGGGCAGTGGGTTGTTTCTTCTAAGGAGAAGTATGGTTAACGGTAGTCATAGAACTTTGGGTGAAGGTGCATGTGTGTTCCTGCTGTTTTATTGTATATCACTCCACTGGTTTGGATGGACTGAAGGTTAAGAAGGTGAGATGGGGAATTTCTCTATAAGTCACAGACTCACCTGTCTGCATTAGAAATCTCATTCTCTGGACAAAGAATGCAGTCAAAGCAACAGGTAGCATTTCCTTCCACAGAGGCCTTCCTGTATCCAGAACCACAGTTCTCAGTGCAGACAGACTGAGGAGTCTGGGAACATTCAGATGAAGGGTAGTACTATTCATCCTTTTACCTGACATCCCAGACACTCCAGTACTTTAAGGAAAAAGATCATCAAAAACAAAATCTTTAAATACATACAACCAATGAATTGATTGAGCCTTCTTACAGTTTCATGTAACATGACCTGAAGAATATATGGAGAATCGACATCCAGCCCCTCACGCTATCAGGAAGTCATGGAGCCTTGAAGAGGTGGATGTTAATTCTAGGAAATTAGGAAATGGGAGTTAACCCTACATCCCATTCTTGTATCAGGTGATGATGTGTTTTCTCTCATAAGAAGAACATCACTAGGGGAAACTTTAAATCAACACTCTAAAGCATGGCTAAGTGTTTTGAAGGTGCTGTTGTATCCAGGGTTATTCACATCTCACTCCCTTGACTTCCCAGCTGCCATGAGGTGGGTGAACTTCACTGGCAGATGCTCCTTTCATTACAACCTGTGTCAACACGGATCCAAAAGCAACAATCTACCCAAGCATGGTCTGAAATCTCCAGGCAGAAGCAAAGCAAGCCCTTCTGCCTTCTCATTTGATTCCCTCAGGTATTTGGTCACAGTGTTGGAAAGATGATTCACAAGTGGCATTTAGCTTTTATGATATTCAATATGCAAACATAGAACAACATATTGATAATGAAATGTTCCCCTATTCCCTACATGAATCTGTTAGTAAGAAACTTCCAGAAACAGGAAGTGGTGAAATGTACACGACTGAACCATAGTTTTATTGAACAAGCTTTAAAAAAGGGTAAGCTTATTGCTTATTTATACATAGATTATGACATTATGCTTAGAAACAACCAACTCTGGGGGAGAAATAGGATGTGGTGACAGTGTCTACAAGCATTGTGATTGTAACCTGACTAAGGAAATTGTAAGCTCTTTCTACAACTACTTCCTAATAACAATCCTTTTTTTTAAAAAGGAGAGAGTAAAAAAAGTAGAAATGACCCACCTTGGTAATTCCTATGGGCCACTCTATCAGATTTTCAAACAAAATCAGTTGTTGATCATATGGCCTAGATGGAGAAAACTCGCCAACTTTCACCCTTTGTCCCAGACCTTCTGGAAAATTCCAAAAGCTCTTAATGTCATATTCTGCCTCCAATTTCCTTTCCTCATTCAAAACCACTTGGTCTCCAACAGGATTGGTAAATTGGATATTCTTCAAAAAGGGATGCAGCTAAAAGGGACACATTACAGTATGGTGAAGTGCTTCCCAGTGTTATCACAGAACCCCAGAACAATGGATTACACTTCATTCCCATCCCCTGATTCATACACACCACAGGAATCCAACCAACTGTATCAATTGCAGGCCCACAGCAGACTAAAGCGTTACCAAGTTCTAAAACCTGGGTATCCAGGATGGGATGCAGAAACTCAATTTCAAGGGAATGCAACTCCAGCTACATCTAACAAAATAATGAATTATCATATGACAGACCTCAAAGACTCTCAATTGTATTCCAATCACTTATTTTATGATTGTGATCAGAGAGTCAGTCTGAAATAAGGAGAATAATAAACTAAGTAGGATAGTAAAATATTTATGACAATTATGAAAGACTACTTTAAGCAAGACTTAGTTCATTGTGGTGTGTGTGTGTGTGTGTGTGTGTGTGTGTGTGTGTGTGTTTATCCTGTGACACAAGCTCAGGGCTTAGGCACTCAAATCGAGGTGGTTTTAATTTCTTTTCAAAGTATGCATTCTATCCATTGAGCCAAAGCTCCACTTCTGGCTTTTGATAGTTAACTATAGTCAGGAGTAAGCCACAGGTGTGAGCCACTTGTGTCCAGACAATATTAGGTTTTCAAGAATTAGTCACCTTGATCTGTTATTTTAAGAAGTTACAAGGACAATTTGGATATATTGAAAAGGGGACGGCTTTTTCCACACATAGTGTGGATGGGGACAGAAGACACAGCACTTCCTTTTCATGGATGCAGCGTTCTTCAAGAACATTGTCTTCACAGCTCTACATTCACTCATGTAGAGTATGACAGGCCCAATGTTTCTTATATTTTCCAAAATGGAGCCAGATGACCTAGTTCCATCCGCAATGAAATCTTCTATAGAAAGTCTATATGCCTAGAGTAGGTCACCCAAAACCAAAGCCATTACCTGTGAAGAGAGAAATGCCCTTGATTGACCATTGTGCCCTAGTGGCTCCTCCATGTGACAAAGAAACATCTGGTGGAGGGTGTGGGCCAAGGCATACACAGCATTATAGATGTTGTAATTCTCTTCTGACATGGTCATGTCAAAAATATGCCTCAGCAACCAATGGAGTGTGCCATTGTATGAGCAGTGCCCCAAGTCTCTGCAGTCAGACTTAATCAGTAGGCTATAAACAGACTGAATCCATGACCTAGGAAGGGAATTATTTCCTAAGTTATTTGACAAGGTACCTTTCAGAATAAAATTGGTGAACAGAGAAGTGTTTCTATGATGATGAGAGAAGGTGAGAGATGCGTGGAAGGAGTGGATCAGAAAATATCTTTTACCAATGGTGATGTCATCATAGGGTGAGTTCATGACCCACACTTTCCTTGTAATTAAAATGTGCCCAAATTTAACAATAAAGCTTAGTAGAAATTTACTGTCCCCATAAATGATAATCACATTGGTTGATGAGTCCATTAGCTGGCAATACGTGGACAGATCATCTGAGTAATCTGTAAAGGCATTGTAAGGGATCATGTTCTCAAAGGCAAAACAGACTCTACTCTTGCCCATCTCTTCTCTCAATTCTGAGAGGAACCACACACCATAGTTGTCTTCAGTGATGAACAGTCCCACCCAGGTCCAGCCGAAATGAAGCATCAAAGAGACCATGGCCAGGGCTAGATCTGAGTCTTTGGCTGCCATCTGATAGACAGTCCCAAACTTTCCATGGTCACTCAGGAGAGGATCAAAAGCCCCAAAAATGAACTACAGGGAAAAAATGAACACAACACCAGGAAGAGGATGGTAATAGGCAAGTCTCAGTCCTGATGTAAGCTAAACAAAAACTGGGAAGGATGGGAACAAAAGTTTGCTTATCCCATTTGCAAAGTCATCTCCCATGTTCCAAGCACTTTGCATACATGTATGGTTAAGGCTCAGAGCTTTGGGTCATCCTTTCCTTTCTTAAAACCTCTCCTTTTATTTAGAGCAAAGAAAATGTGTATGTTCCACCAACTTTTGGAGTCTTTTCCCTGTGAGATTATGCATTTGGAAGGGTTCATGATAATACCTCTTCAGCCTGTCCAGGACAGAGTCCATGTGGACATAGTTTCACATCTGCCCACCTCTCCCAGCCTCACCTGTGGAAGTTGGTAGAGGTCCAGCAGTGTCCCGATTGGAACAGATGTGCTTGAGGTTCCTGTGAGTCCTGCTAAAGCTTTGCTGTCTCTTCTGCAGGTGTAATTGGGGCTGTTTTTATTTTTCCCAGACAGCCAGATGAGAGGATCCTCTAACAGATCAGTACCTGAGTAATGTGCTGTATAGATCTCAAACCCCAGAGTCATGTTGGGTAGCAGATGGGGATTCTTGTTGATCTCTTCCACAGCCAGCAGCAGGGTGAGAAGCAATTGGTATTTCTTTAAGTTGATCCTGCAAAAAGGTCACAAATTTTGGGTAGGTATATGCTTATCACAAATGATTAACTGCAAATCTCATGACTTCTTTTTGAATCAAGTGCTTATCTCTACCCACAGTAGTATGTGTAGATCCTATCTTCCAACAGGATGGTATTCTAAATTGGAGTCTTAGAATTGAGAGAGCTCCTATACAGGACTTGATCAGCATACATGAAGTGACTGTTCTTCTGAGATTGTAGAGAGGAGGGGGGGATGAGCAAGGTGTCTTTTCCTCTCTTGCACATATGTCTATGTGAAAAATACTGCTGTCTGTTGGAACACAGGGGCATGCCCAGCTCACACCCCAAATCATTAAATACCTTGAATTAGCTGTGCATATGAAAAAATTCTTAAGAAATACAATTCAAATTGGGAGCAGATTGTCCACCTGAGTTCGACTAATATGAGCAGAGAGGCAGTGCCTGCTGTCTCAGGAGTAAATAGCAAACAGGCTGCCTTGTCTCTGCACTCTCTTGCCAGACTTTGCCGATGGTGCACCCTTCTGCAAAGACCTGAATCTTACCTTGTGAGGACATTAAAGAAAACAAAGCAATTCAATTCATTTCATATCGTAGAGGCACACTAAGCTGACTTAGAGAATGCCATCATTCAAGGGGATTACTCAGAAGCAGTGCAAGATGGCATCTGAGGGAGAGAGAACCTGAAGCTTGCCTCACCTAACAAAGAAGAGATGAGAGTCATGGGGTGTGGACCGGAGGGTACTTCTCTAGGGGAACAAAACAACAGATAAAGATGTGTGAGAAAAGGAAGAAAGAAGCTGCCTCCATGTTCCTCCCAGTCAACAGCATTACTACCTCATTATGGACAGAAACCCCTCAACATTGCCGGGAGGGAGAGAATTAAAGTTAAATCTCATCCCTGTATCTTGGAACGAGTGCTGGGGAAGTGGTTATAGTCTCTACTCTTGTGTCCAGACATTTAGATTGCTCCTATGGAACTGGTTTAGGACAGAGAAGGAAGACACTGCCACACCCTCCCTCCTCCAATCTTGTCAATGACAGCAGGTATGGGAAACAATCTCCTAGTGAGCAGGGCAGAGTGCTTCAGAGTTTTTTCTTAGAACCCTGTGTCAGGCATGTCATGATTGGACTAATAATCCAGAATAAACTAAAAGCACTGTTTGATGCTAGCACCCAAGCATCTGCTAGAATCTTTCAGGAGATGTTGGAAGGTCACTGAGGCAGACCCAAATGCCATTTCCATCAGTTTCCACCATGGTTGAAGTAGGCTGACACCTATCTTCTTGCTTAGCCTTGCGAAGGCACTGTTGCTATGTGACTCTGTTGACATCTGACTCAGTCCCAGTCTTGTGCACAGTGAAGAATCTCAGAGACCATTGCCCTAGAAAGATAGTGCTCAACACGGAACCAAGCAGAAACGTAGGTTGCTCTAGGAAACTAATGTGCACTGGTCTATATCAGCATTAGCTGGAGTGTGGGACACCTGACAGTTTGGCTTTCTGGATGGGAGATTGAGTCTGAGTATATAGCAGTGTTCACCAAGATGGCCCTGTGGCCTGCTTTTTTTTATTTTGTCAGTTTTAGTGCTTGAACTCTAGGCCATGGATCTGTCCCTGAATTTTTCAGTTCAAGGCTAGTGCTCTACCACTTGAGCCACAATGCCACTTTTGGCTTTCTGACGTTTAATTGGAGATAAAAGTCTCATGGATTTTCCTGCCTGGGATGGCTTTGAACACTGGTACTCAGATCTCAGCTTCCTAAGTAGCTAGGATTACAGGCATCAGCCACCGGTGCCCAGCTGTGTCTTCCATTACAAACTTTACCAAGCTGCTGTGACACAGCATGGTTCTCCATTCTACTTCCCATGGGTTGGATACAGGGAATTAAGATGGTGATCTTGTCCCATAGCTTAGTGTGGGCCATATGATAGCACTAGAACTTTGCCATCACCCCATAGCCAGGACAGCCTCTGGCAGAGCTCTATAATCATCTCAGTACCTGTGAGTCGTCTACCACCAGACAGTCTGAATTCTATTCTAGCTATCACTAATTGTGTATGGTTGTGGCCATCTTGGCCCATGAATGCACCTCTACCACATTCAACCTGAGGCAATCTTAGTGCTCACCTAGCACTGTATTGGTCTTGATTGCAGTGGACTGAGGATGCTGTACTCAGGCCGGACAGACTAAGGAAAATGAGGCCTGGTTAATGCATGCCAGGAATTCAAAAACTCAAGCTTAAAGCTTGTCCATCTACTTCCCTTTATATTAAGGGAATGAAATCATTTAGGGGAAAGTGGAGTAGAATAGATTAGTAACAAATGAGGTTTGGGAAGCTCACAGTAAATAGAGAGGTTTTCATCCATCTACATATCTTAAGATTAAGGGACCATGCAGAAAAAGCATTCGACAAGATCCAACACTCCTTTATGATAAAGGTTCTGGAAAAATTAGGAATCCGTGGAACATTCTTCAATACAATAAAGGCTGTATATGACAAACCTACAGCCAGCATTATACTTAATGGTGAAAAACTAAAGCCATATCCTCTTAACTCATGAACAAGACAAGGATGTCCACTCTTTCTTCAATCTAGTATTAGAATGCCTAGCTACAGCAATAAGACAAGATGCAAACATAATGGGGATCCAAATAGGGAAAAAAGAAGAAAAACACTCCCTCTTTGCATATGACATGGTCTTATATTTAAAGAATCCCATAGACTCCATTCCCAAATTACTCAAGCTGATTAACAACTGTGGCAATGTAGCAGGGTATAAAATTAACCCTCAAAAAATCAATGGCTTTTCTGTATGCCAATAATGAGAAAAGTGTGGCTGGAATTAGGAAAGCAACTCCATTCATAATAGCCCCACAAAAAATAAAATACCTAGGAATTAACTTAACCAAAGAAGTGAAGGACCTCTATGATGAAAATATTAAAAACTAGAAAAAGGAAATCAAAATAGAACTTAGAAAGTGGCAAAAACTCTCATGCTCCTGGATTAGAAAGATCAACATCATGAAAATGGCAATACTTCCCCAGGCTATCTACAAATTCATTGCGGTCCTATCAAAATTTCAACCTCATTTTTCAAGGAAATAGAAGAAGCAATCCAAAAATTCATATGGAACATAAAAGACTCCGAATAGTAAAAATGATCCTTAACAGAAAGAACACTGCTGGAGGAATATCAATACCAAATTTCAAACTCTACTATAAAGCCATAGTAATCAAAACAGCTTGGTACTGGCACAAGAACAGACCTCAGGTCCAATGGAATAGAACTGAAAACCCAGAAATGAACCTACAGACCTACAGCCATCTAATCTTCGATAAGGGAGATAAAAAAATAGAATGGAAGAAAGACAGCCTCTTCAGTAAATGGTGCTGGCAAAATTGTTAAAGTACTTGTAGAAAACTAAAGCTAGATCCTTGTATATCACCCTGCACCAGAATCAACTCCAAATGAATCAACGACCTCGGAGTCAAAGCAGACACTCTGAAACCATTACAAGATGGAATAGGAGAAACCCTAGGTCTCCTTGGCACATGCCAAAAATTTTTTAGTAGAGACCCAGAAACACAACAAAACAAAGAAAGGTTGGACAAATGGGATTGCATGAAATTGCAGAGCTTCTGCATGGCAAAGGACACAGCTAGAAAGATCAATAGAAAGCTCAAGGATTGGGAGAAGATCATCACTAGCCACAAAACGGACAAGGGTCTCATATCTAAAATATACCTTGAACTCAGAAAATTAAATCCCCCAACAACAAATCTTTAAAGACACAACTGCCCAGGAAACAAGTGCGCTAAATACTCAAAGAGAATCTTCTCTGAAGAGCAAAGAAGGATGGCCAATAGACACATGAACACATGCTTAACTTCTCTGGCAATAAAAGAAAAGCAAATCAAAACAACATTGAGATACCACCTCACTCCAGCTAGAATGGCTAAAATCAAGAACTCTAAAAACAACAGATGCTGGAAGGGATGTGGACAGAAGGGAACCTTACTGCATTGTTGGTGAGAGAGTAAACTTGTTCAACCACTTTGGAAAGCAGTATGGAGGTTCCTCAAATGACTCCACATAGAGCTCCCCTCTGACCCAGCAATCCCACTGTTGGGCATTTACCCAAATGCTTACAAACAAGACCGTAATAAAGCTACCAGCATGACTATGTTTATTGCAGCATTATTTACTATAGCTAAGATATGGAATCAAGCCAGATGCCCCTCAGTAGATGTATGGATCAAAAAATTGTGGTATATATACACAATGTGATTCTATGCCTCCATCAGAAAGAATGACATTGCTCCAATTTTTAGGAAGTGGAAAGGCTTAGAAAAAATTATATTAAGTGAAGTAAGCCAAGCCCAAAGAAACATAGGTCCCATGGTTTCCCTTATTTGCAATATCTAGTATATGTCTGAGTCAAGCAGAAAAGGTCAGATAAGTTGATGTTAGGGAAATGAACCCTAAGATATGGATTCAAATGTTTTTTTCTTTCATGTGATTGTTCCTAACACATTTATAAGATTATTTCTTTGTTTCTTTGTATGTCCCTCCCCCACAGTATAACTCCTTCTTTCACTTTATTTCCTATCGGTATAATTTGTGGAGGGGAAGGGGAAAAACAAATCATTTAAATAGGGATACAGTTGGATCCATTGCAACAATGAGATGTACAAGTCCTTATGTCGAAAACGGACTTTACAACCTCCGTGCGGGGGGGGGGGGGGAGAACTGGGGAGTGGGGGGAGCATAGGAAGGGATGGGAAGGGGAAACAAAGGAGGAGGCTACAATACTTGGTAAGAAATGTACTCATTATCTTGCCCATGTAGTTGTAACCCCTCTGTACAGTATTTTCACAATAAATAAAGAAAAGAAAAAAGAAAAGGCAAGAAATAACTTAAAAAAAAAGATTATGGGACCAAAGTCATTGAGCACAAAAAGAAGCTGGATAAATTATCGGAAAAATGAGTCCTAGAGAAGGCCACTTAGAAACATGTGATTTAGAAACACAGGGCTACTATCTTTACTTCAAAGATAGACGACAGGTTGCATTCCTTCCTGAGAGATGCATTTCTCATCATATGAAATAGCAGTTGTCTTGTTGTATGTACGCCTTCCTCCAAGATGCTCCCCCAAACTTTAGCAACATCCTACCCCAAATATAGACAACAGCACACCTTCCCTCAAGGATAATCATCTGGAAAGAATGCCCAAAACATACAGAAACTCAGAAAGTTTAACACCAGGAATGATTAGAACAAAAGTGAGACACATATGTTTGCATAACTTTGAAGTGAGAACTCCTACCTTTACCATATGAATACCCCTGGCAGCCCAAGAGCTGTGTGTCTCTCCTCAGTTAGAGTGTGTCTTTGCCTTTCTGCTTCCTGTTTGTCTACCTGCTTGCTTGTTTGCTTCCTTACTCAGGAAAGCTCTGCCACATTTTCTTACTGTTGTGACTTGTCTAGAATTTTTTTTTCTGTGATCAAAGTCCAGGATCCCAAGTGAAGAGTCCCTATTTTCGAGGGAAACTTCATTAACCTTCATCTGATTTGGTGACCCTGCAGATTGGTATTCCAGGTGTAATAGAGTTCTGGTGTCCACAGCTGTGACAAAGGCACACAGATCTTGCCACTGCTAGGCAGAATCCACTCACAAGGCCATTCCCTGTGGACGAGGCATATGTTCCCCCTGTGCACCCAAGAGGAGGCATACTTGGACCCACGACTCATTAAAGTTCTCTTGAAGTTTTTAGAACCACAGAGTATTTGTCACCAAAATTGCCTTTGCTTTTCTCTGGTACTGAAGTGGTTTATCACCTCACAGCTGATTTCCCTCAAGGCCTGCGCTCCCTCTAGTGGTGCCATTGTGGAAGTCACTACAGACTCAGGAACACTGAAGCCTGCCTGGAATTTCTGGAAAGACAGGCACAAAGCCAGACCACTGGTGTAATTCAGAGACATTTCAAAGGCCAGATGGTACCACATGCCAATATGAATCAAGAATGTTCCAGAACAATGAGTTCTCCTAGAATTCATTGTAATCATTTTGGGGAAATTCTCATAGAATCTCAACTCTCATGGATGTTTGCTGATGTCCTTGTGTACAATTTAACTCTCAGGCTTGACAGCTAGAATGTCAGTTATACTAAATATGAATTGGGAACTGGTGGATAAGGCCTGTAATTATAACTACTAAGGAGGCTGATATAGGAGAATTATGTTTTGTAGTTACTTTGGCCAGGAATGTCTGTGAGAGTCTTATGTGCAAGCAACTCAACAGAAACTGGTGCAGAGCTGTGGGTCAAGTGGTAGAGTGCCAGTCATGACAGAAAAAATGCTAAGGGACAGCCATCAGGACTTGGGATGACGCCTGAGTATCAGAGTATGTGTGAACATGCACACACACACACACACACACACACACACACACACACACACACACACATACACACACACACAAATCCACAGCCCAATTAGTGAATGGACAGAGAAGAGGATAGCTCTGACATCTCCCACCTCCCATGGGGTACGTTTCTAATGCTAGGTTTACACATGAGCCCCATCTTTCTCACTCAGTTCCTCAACAGGATCAGTTGCTTCAATATCCCTCACATATCTCTTATTTAATAAAGTATTCCTCTCCTAAACCAACCTCAAACAGGATGTTTCCACACAACTTGTCTGAGAAGATTCATCCATGACTTCTCTAGTTTACAGAGAATTATGTAGATCTGAAAGTAGTGAGCTCATCTGGGTCAAATGCATGAATGAAAGTGTGTATAAAATATGAAAAAGTCAGGCATCTTTGCTCACGCCTGTCATTCTAGTTACTCAGGAGGCTGAGATCTGAGGATCAGTGTCCAAAGCCATCAAAGGCATTAGAGTTCATGAGACTCTTATCTCTAATAAACCACCAAAAAATAGGAAGTGGCACAAGCACTGGAGCGCTTGTCTTAAGCTGAATAACACAGGGGCAGCATCGAAGCTCAGAGTTGAAGCCCCATTACTGCCAATAGATATGAAAAAAACATTCAAATGTAGTTTAGGAAGTTATGATTAGGGAAAAATAAATAAGCCTGGAAAGATGTTGGAGGACAAGGAATGGAAGCAGAGCTTCTGGGAATGACATGGGACACAGGCCAAGACATGGACATCAGGGCAGATGTTTACTTACATTAATTAAGGGGAAAAAATCAAACATGTCTTGAATCTCTTATTACTGATCTGACCAGCAGCTCCCCATTCCCAGAGCTTTGCTGACACAAAATAATTCCAGAAGCAGAAATTGCATGTCCACCCTAACAAAAGTTGCTATGAAGGAGGTCCAAACATTGGTCCTGTTTTGAAAAGTGTAAAGTACAGAATTGATTGAAGAGTCCTTGGACTTTGCACTATGGATGGGGACATTGCTCATTAGTGTCCGTATGGACTCTTGGTCACCCCAGTGACCTTGAGTTACAGTGATGAGTGGAGGAGACACAGTGATGGTGGGGTGGTCAGACATCGCTGGAAAGGGGAGTGGAATGGAAGACAGACAGAAAACTCTTTACCTTTGGATGAAAGAATAATATTCATCAGGAAAATCTGAAATGAAGTAGAGCTGTTGTAGTGAGGGAAATGTAGAAGATGCAGAGGACATCAGTGATTGTTTCCAAAATTCCCCCACCTCTGAATGTAACCCAAAGAGAAAATTCACAATTTAAGGAAAGCCAAGAAATCACTTACTGAATGTTCTGTTGCTGCAGGGTAGGGTCATTCAAGCTTTGAATGAACAATTCCCAAGAATAGAGGGGGTAAAATCCAACAATGACCACATGTCCCCTGCTGCATACCACAGATTTCTCTGTGCAAATCCGTCTGCTGTCTTCAGAGGAACTGATCAGGTGTGGATGCTGGAGAAGCAGTGTTAGAGTCACAGGGAACATTGCTGCCGCTTTGACCTGGAGCTGTGATTCTGGATGCAGACTCTGATTTCTGTGTCAAACAGGTGTCTAAATGGATCTTCAGTTTTTGTGGCTTCTTATTACCTGGATGGCCTCCTCTGTCCTAGAGGAATACAGAGCCCATTCTGCCCTCTGGCTCTGCATCTGGGGTCTGGCTTCAAGGTCAAAACAGTAGTTAGAAAACATGTGTACAATCTTCCTCTCCACTTCCTCAGGACTGTGATTTCATCCAAGACTGTAGATAATGATACTCCAGGAATGGATTCCTTTCTTGTTGATTGTTCACAAATTTGTTTGAAAGCAAAAAGTTGAACAGAAAAAGCACAACCAATCAAGGGTCACTAGGGATGAGGGGAATGGATGACACCAGAAGATGCCATGTGAAGGTCAAATGGTCATAGAATGCCATGGCCAGAAAAGGCCCAATAAGAGTTATTGGAGCACCGTCAAACATAAGGATGGGCAGCCTCACAATCCAGGGCCAAGTGAGCCACAGAAGTTTGCTGAAATGAACCATTCAAGTTTCCATTCCAGCTGCACATGCATTAGTATCCAGAAGTGGTCAAGGTATTTATTTACTGCTGCTGGTGTTACCAACATTCTCCCTGAATTCAACTATTACAGATCAATACTTCAAGGTCAATGCACATATCCAATTGGATATTAGCACTCTGAAACTTAAACTTCTTCAGTGCTTGCATGTCGTTGACCATCAGACTGCACCTATCAATATATTGTGGTGGTCCACTGTTAGACACAGAGATGTTCTATGATCTGTGACTTTCTGGGAACATAGCAGGCTTGCCCACTGAGGATCCTGGTAGCTGTGGGTGTATGGATGGGTCTTGCTCTGCTGTGTCCCCCTCATGTCCAGAGTGCTTTGGTAATTCTTGTTACCACTTGTACAACTGTGTGGTGCCAGCTCTGTCCATGTCTCCCTACCCGTCTTCTCTATTAGTTTCTCATAATAGAAGTGAAATCAAGGTCACAACATAGGATCCTGCTCTGCCCAGAGTTCACCATGGTGGCTGGTCTGGTGAACTGGGTGCATATATTTATGAGGAAGGGCTTGGCAAATGTAAGTTGGAAAGGTAAAGATGCAAATGCTATTTGATATTGGTAGCCAGCAAGACCTTGCAAGAGCATCAGTGCTGGGGCCTAGCCTGACTTGGGTTCTGAGGTAGAAATCTTTGTTGCTTCTATACCCAGGATTATCGGTATGAGCCACCTGTGGCTGGCTCAGAAGAGAAACATTTATCCTGTTTTCTTCATCTATTACTCTATTTCTGTTAAATCTGCCCAAGAGAACAGGCCCTCCCCACTTCCTCTTCACCTGTCTGAAACCAGTAATCAGCTGTCAGTCACCTGACTGTGATTCAGTAGTGGACCCCACACTCTCTGGTCACTCCTTCATCCACAGATGTCACTTCCTGAACCACCCTGGTCACGCCTCCATAGGACAGTGAGAAGTTCCACAGACTCTGTGGTCATTTCCACATCCGCTGTGGTCCTGGCTCAGCACAAGTCCCCTTCTCTTTCTTTCTCTTTTTCCTTTTCCTCTGTCTTTTCCATGCTCTTCCCTCTCCTGCATGTATGCAGTTTGCCTTTTCTGGAAACAATAGCAAGCAAGAAAAAAAAAAAAAACATTGAATCCTTATCTTTGGGTTAATTTCACCTAACATCAACCTGTCTGACAGTTTCTGTTTGTCTCAGACATGTACTAGTTATTGCAAAGAAGGGAAACTTTGGGACCTATATCTCTTTGGGCCTGACTTACTTCACTTAATATAATTTTTCCAAGTCTTTCCATTTCCTAACAAAGGGGGCAATGCCATTCTTTCTGTTGGAAGAATAGAATTCCATTGTGTATGTATACCACAGTTTCTTGATCCATTCATCTACGGAGGGGCATCTGGGCTGGCTCCATATCTTAGCTATGGTAAAAATACTGCAATAATCATTGTTGTGTTGGGAGCTTTAGTATGGACTTGTTTGTGATCAGTTGGGTAAATGCCCAAAACTGGGATTGCTGAGTCATAGAGGAGCTCTATATGGAGTCTTATGAGGAACCTCCATACTACTTTCTAAAGTGCTTGAACAAGTTTACATTCCCACCAACAATGCAGTAAACTGCCCTTCTGTCCACATCCCCTCCAGCATCTGTTGTTATTAGAGTTCTTGATTATAGTCATTCTAACTGGGGTGAGGTGGTTTCTCAATGTTGTTTTGAATTGCATTTCTTTTATGGCTAGGGAGGCTGAACATGTATTCATGTGTCTATTAGCCATCCTTCTTTCCTCTTCAGAGAAGTTTCTCTGTAAGTCTTTAGACCAGTTGTTTATTAAGCAGTTGTTTCTGTGAGGGTTTGTTGTTGGGGGATTTAATCTTTTGAGTTCCAAGTACATTTTAGATATGAGACCCTTGTCCGATGTGTGGCTAGTTATGATCTTCTCCCAATCCTTGGGCTTTCTATTGATCTTTCTAGCTATGTCCTTTGCCATACAGAAGCTCTGCAATTTCATGCAATCCCATTTGTCCAACCTTTCTTTGATTTGTTGTGTTTCTGGGTCTCTATTAAAAAAATTTTGGCCAGTACCAAGGAGACCTAGTGTTTCTCCTATTCCATCCTGTAATGTTTACAGAATGTCTGCTTTGACTCCAAGGTCTTTGATCCATTTGGAGTTGATTCTGGTGCAGGGTGATATATAAGGATCTAGCTTTAGTTTTCTACAAGTAGTTAACCAATTTTACCAGCACCATTTACTGAAGAGGCTGTCTTTCCTCCACTCTATTTTTTTAGCTCCCTTATCAAAGATTTGATGGATATACGCCTGTAGGTTCATTTCTGGGTTTTCATTTCTATTCCATTGGTCTTGAGGTCTGTTATTGTGCCAGTACCAAGCTGTTTTGATTACTATGGCTTTATAGTAGAGTTTGAAATTTGGTGTTGATATTCCTCCAGCACTGTTCTTACTGTTGAGGATTGTTTTTTGCTATTTGGGGTCTTTTATTGTTCTGTATGAATGTTTGGATTGCCTCTTCTATTTCCTTGAAGAATGAGGTTGGAATATTTATAGGTATTGCATTGAATTTGTAGATAGCCTTAGGAAGTACTGCCATTTTCACTATGTTGATCCTTCCAATCCAGGAGCATGAGAGTTTTTGCCACTTTCTAAGTTCTGTTTTGATTTCCGTTTTCAGGTTTTTCAAATTTTTCATCATAAAGGTCCTTCACTTCTTTGGTTAAGTTAATTCCTAGGTATTTTATTTTTTGTGTGGCTATTTAACTAATGGAGTAGCTTTCCTGATTTCAGCTACGCTTTTCCCATTGTTGGAATACAGAGAATCCATTGCTTTTTTGAGGGCTAATTTTATACCCTTCTACTTTGCCAAAGTTTTGAATCAGCTTGAGTAATTTGGGAGTGGAGTCCGGGGTTCTTTAAATACAAAATCATGTCATCTGCAAAGAGGGAGAGTTTTACTTCATCTTTCCCTATTTGGATTCCTTTTATGTTTGCATCTTGTCTTATTGCTCTACGTAGGCATTCTAATACTAAATTTAAGAGAAGTGGAGAGAGTAGCCATCCTTTTCTCACTCCTGAGCTAAGAGGAAATGGCTTTAGTTCTCCACCATTAACTATAATGCTGGCTGTAGGTTTGTCATATACAGACTTTACTGTATTGTGGAAGACTGTTCCCTGGATTCCTAATTTTTCAGAATCGTCATCATAAAGGAGTGTTGGATCTTCTCAAATGCCTTTTCTGCACCTATTGAGATAACCATGTGGTTCTTATCCTTGCTCTTGTTGATGTGATGAATTATATTAACCAGCTTTGTATCCCTGAATGAATCCTGTATGATCGTGCTGTATGATTTTTTGGATGAATTGTTGAAGTCTATTGGTCAAATTTTTTTGAATGTGTTCGGTAGTCAACTTTCTCTTTAAATTTCATTGAAGAGTTGGAGGTGTATTGGTGTGAACTCTGCTTTGAAGGCCTTGTAGAATTCCTCTCTAAATCCATCTGGTCCTTTTCTTTTCTTATTAGGAGGTCTCTTATTGCTGTTTCTATTTCAATGCTTGATATGGGCCTGTTAAGATGGTTTAATTCGTTTTGGTTTAGTTTCGGCATGTCGATATTTGCAAGGAAAAGGACCATTTCTGCTAAGTTCTCAAACTTATTAGCATAAAGTTTTGAGAAGTATTCCATTATAACGTTCTGAATCTTGTTTTTTTTTTTTTCTGTGGTGGTTTCCATTCTCATCCCTGAGTTTATTTATTTGGGTGTGTTCTCTTCTTTTTCTGATAAGATTTGCTAACAGAGGGTTGATTCTTTCTATGGTGTTTTTATTCTTATTCGTTGAATTCTGATTTAATTTTAATTATTTCTTTCTGTCTACTGGATTGGGGTTTATCTTGCTGCTCTTTTACAAGGAGGTTTAGATGTGTCATTAAATTGTTGGTTTGGCGCCTCTGGGGGAAGATGGGGCTCAGGGTCCTGCTCTAGAAGGTGAAGTATACTCTTAGCATGCCCTGGGGCATGGGGCAGTGAGCATCATAGGAAGGAGACTTGGCCCTTGAGCATGAGGGACTGCATGTGGTTCTGGAATACCGCAGGGCCTTGCCCGTGTCTGGGCGCAGATTCAGCAACAACAACACGGGGCAGATCCTGAGCAGCAGGCCCAGGGGGCACAGGTGTGATCCATAGTCTATTCCTGCTATTCTGGCCCCCTCTCTGGGTTGAGGTGTCTCACCTGCCACGCGTGGGCTTTTTTCTTTTGTTCTCCTGCTCTCACAGTTTGGGATGATTTTCATTTAATGATTGTGTAGCTTTAATATATTGGCTATTCTGTCTGTCTGTCTGTCTTTCTTCACCCTTTCTTTTCTCCGTGTTTCTGTTGAGCCTTTGCCATCATTGGCACTGCTCACTGTGGCATCCATAGACCCTAGTGAGAAATGAAACCACTTGCTTTTTCTTTAAAAAATTTAAATACAGGATTGACGTTTATTGGAGTTGGATGGCAAAAGTAAAGGGAATTAAATATGAATTTATGTTTTCAATATGAAAAACGTCTCTGTGTGTGTGTGTGTGTGTGTGTGTTTCTGTGTGTGTGTGTGTGTGTGTTTGTGTGTGTGTATCAGCCCTGGAAGTCAGGGCCCCAAGCTCCTTCTCTTGGCTTTGTAATACACATGTGGCATTTTAGCATTTGACAAATACCTCCTGTCCTATATTTTTACTTGCAAGTTAGAGGTGAAGTCTCATAGATGTTTCTGTACAGGCTAATTTTGAACTGTAATCCTCAGATCCAAGCCTTTTAAGAGATCCACTGGTGTCTGGCTCGCAAAAAATTACGTGTCTAATATAGAAATTCAAAATGAATTTAATAATAGATTTCCACAAGAATGTGAAAATTTAATACACATTACCTAAGGTTTTAGTCCATATTTTAAGAGTAACACATTTTCTTTTTTGAGATTATGTAATTACATAAATTTCACACTATTGTGGCATAATGATACTTAGCTAAAGTCACTAACACATTTTAACCTTCCCAATGCATCTTGTCATCGTCTTGATCTACAAAGCTTATGAATTCTACAGACTTTAACAATAAATCTGTTTCTTCCAAATTGGGTGATATGTACATTTCTTTCCTTTTGCTCAGTATCAGCTGTTTCCTTTTTCTCTCTCATTCCCTCCCTCCCATAATCTGTTGAGTTGCTTAGTTCACTTTCATCAATGACCAGTGCCGCTGATGGGCCCTCTGCTGTATTTTTTTCACCCATTTTCCTCCACTTCTTTGCCCCCCTCCTGGCTTCCCTCAGATGTGCATGCCTATTCAGCTTATATGCGGTCAAGAACGCAGAGTGATTTAGAAATTATATGAAAAGTAAGAACAGGTCCTTTATTTCTTGGGTCTTGTTTACTTGTCTACTTTGTTTACTTGTTTATGATTATGACATGTAATTTAGTCCAATCAAATAGAGATTGAACATCACTGGATCTTAAAAAATAAGCAGAAAATGAAGCAATGGAAGAAAGGACACACTACCTTTTACCAGCATATCTAACGATATCTCCTCCAAAACTCGAGTGTGGCTATTCGTCTCTTTTCTCTTCTTCCATTTCTGTTTGGAAGTCCTTAGTCATTTGGTCCAATAAGATGCAGAAGTTGGCTAACTGTGAGCTCTGAAGATTGATTTTCCTAAGGTTAATGATGAGTCCATCCTTTCCCACCTTCACTTGAGCATCTCCTGGACAGCTGCAGTCCTCTGGAACAGAGGCTGGCACTAGCCCGCTCCTGGTCTGTCAGTCCTGAGGATGGAGGCTGAGCTTCTTTCCCTATGCACTAGGCTTGAAGAGATCCTTGGTTCTTTACTCCTTGGTTGTGTCTAAAGACAGAAGCATCTCTACCCAGTAAGTACTGATGTATTTGATACATGAAGAGTCTTGGAAATACCACCACTTCCTCAAAAATATCAACATAATGGTTTTGGGTAGCCAGATTGTAGGACAGCGCAGTAATATTTATTTCACCACTTGTGTGAATGCTTCAGTTCCCTATGTTTTATACTTTCTTATAGTTATGCTTTGTTACCAGAATGGGTAACCAAAATTTTTTTTTCGTTCTACCCATACAGTACTGGCTCTGATACTGTTAAGTTCTTTCCCAAACTACAATACCTGTATTATTCTAAACTCTTTCTGAGTACTGCAGAGGGACTATCACAATCATATTGAAGGTCTGGACCTCAGTTATCAAAACAGCATCAATGGCAGGGTGCTGGTGCCTCATGCCTGTGATCCTAGTTACTCAGGATGCTGAGATCTGAGGATTGCAGTTCACAGCCATCCCAAGCAGGGAATTCCTTGAAACTCTTTTCTCCAATGGACCAACTGAAAACCAGAAGTGGCAATCATTAAATGAGCACCTATACAGAACAGTGAACACTCTTTTCTTTGAGTCATTGTAAGTGGGATAATCTGTTTGGCTTCCAGAGATTTCTGTCTCTGTGCAGATGCTTTTCTGTTTTCCATCCGTGGCCCAGCAGAATTAGAGACAGCACTGTGTGTATCTTTGTCATTCATGTCTGGGTGACATCACTCCACTGAGCCACAGCTATAGCATTGAATGACGTCAAGATCTCTGGACTCAAAGACATGTGCTTGTTTATCCATTGGACTCCTCCTGGCTATACAATGTGGTGGTGGCCTGACAATACTCTTCCTTCAAGCTCCTCAAAATTTTGATTTCTTAGGGACTCTTCTGAATCATTCTTGTTCTCATAGAATTGTAAAGATCATTGAGAGTTTTGAAGTCTGAGCCTATCTGATGTTTTTGTCCTCTCTTGGGGAGTTTTTTCTCTTCTTATAAAGGATTCCATTTCTCCATCCATTACTATTGAGGATTCTTAGGGACTGGGATGACAAGGCTCTGCTTGGCCAATTGTATACTCTGTATTTTTGGATTTCAATAAGAAATAATGACCAATAAGCAAACTATTGCTGCAGCTACTCATTTGGACAACTGTAGTTATTTTGGTGCACTCACATTTCTTCCCCCAAAAATACATTCATAGATTCCTGTTAGAAACTGCAACAGATTAACATCCTGCTCTAAAATTCTTAAAGAAAGAAGAGAGAGAATGAGAGATTTTCCAGTAAAACACACTCAGTTATATAGCAAAATAGAAAATATGTGAATAGAAATATGCAGCTAGGTCAGAGAATGGACTTGAGTTACCATAATGAAAGCATGGAAATGTTCAACAACGTAACTTCCTATACTAGTAGCTTAGCAATACAGTGATATTGAAGCTGTGATATAGGATAGCTAGGAAGAATAATTGAGACAGGAAAGAGAAAGGAAAAAGCACAGTAGATAATGTACTCATTAGGAAGTATGATAGTATAAAGGACAGATTACACTGGAGGAATCACAAAATATCCAAGTTAGAATGCAAATGTAGGAGGTCTTGTTGGGAATGTGCTATGTCTCTAACATAACCAGAGAAATGAATAAGAGTAACTTGTTTGTTCAAAGAAGTCCTCACATTAAACTAAGATGTAATACAGATTGCTCTCAGAGCCTCTAAACATTCTAGGCAACATCTATGTTTATCTTAATGTTTGTTTCTTCCAGAACGTGATCTCTCCCTGAACCTGGAGAAAGAATTTCTCTCAGGTCTTATGAGGATGATGTAGCACTTGGGGGCAAAGATGCAGCCTAGGAGACCTGCACTGGAGGCCAAAATGGAGAAGACCTCTACGGCCACCATGGCCTTCCCCTTGGTGCTGTGGTAGACAGGCAGGAAGGTAAGCCACACACTGCAGAACACCAGCATGCTGAAGGTCAGGAACTTGGCCTCATTGAAGGTGTCAGGCAGGTTTCTGGCCAGAAAAGCCACAGTGAAGCTGGCCAGGGCCAGAGAGCCAAGGTATCCCAGGACACAGTAGAACGCAGTGAGGGAGCCCATGTTGCACAGGATGATGATGTAGCCATGTTCAGATTGTGCATCTTTGTCCACAAAGGGAGGAGAGATTCGCAGCCAGAGGCCACAGAGGGTCACCTGGATGAGAGTGCAGATGGGGATGAGGAGGTTAGGAACCCAGAAGAGCAGCCTCTGCCTCGTGCTTCTCCCTGGAGCAGTGAGCGTGAAGGCCAGAACCACAGTGATGGTCTTGGCCAGGACTGTTGAGACAGCCACAGTGAAGACCACTGCGAATGTGGTGTGCTGCAGGATGCAGGCAGTTGTGTGAGGACGGCCAAGGAAGAGTAAGGTGCAGAGGAAGCTACAGATGAGGGAGATGAGCAGGATGTAGCTGAGAGCCCAGTTATTGGCCTTGACAATAGGCGTGTCTTGGTGCTTGATAAACACCCCAATAACAGCAGCTGTGAGTGCAGAGCAGCAGAGAGCTGTGCAAGCCAGAGCCATACCCAAGGGGTCTTCATAAGCCAGGAAGCCCTCAGTTTTCATCAGGCAGTGATTTCTCTGGATGTTGGCAAACTGATGATCTGCACACCTGACACACTGCTCCATGTCTGGTGAGGTGTGAGAATCACTATTAGTTTGTGGTCAGTGTTTGTCTTTCCTCTCAACCCCCTTGATTCAACTAGCTAGCTCATTTTCCCTGATTCACCAGTTGACCTGTATTGAGTTCAGTATCAATAGAGTAACTCTCTATATCAAAATGCTTTCACATCAAATCTCTTTCTCACATTTCTTCTTCTTTCCCTCCTCTTTCTGTTTTTGTTTTTCTTTCTTTTCTTTTCCTTCCTTCCTTCCTTCCTTCCTTCCTTCCTTCCTTCCTTCCTTCCTTCCTTCCTTTCTTTCTTTCTTTCTTTCTTTCTTTCTTTCTTTCTTTCTTTCTTTCTTTCTTTCTTTCTTTCTCTCTCTCTTTTTTTCTTTCTTTCTCTCCTTCCTTCCTTCCTTCCTTCCTTCCCTCCTTCCTTTCCTCTCTCCCTCCCTCCCTCCCTCCATCCCTTCTTCACTTCTTCCTTCTCTAGCTCCTTCCTTCCTTACATCTGTCTTTCTTTCCTCCAGTGCTTGAACTCTGGCCATGCGACATTTTCCAGAGTATTCATGCTCAAAACTACCACTCTACCACTTGAGCCACAGCTCCAATTACAGGTTTTTGGGTGCTTAATGGTGAGAAAGAATCTTACTGAGTTTCCTGTACATCATTACATCGAAGCTCCATCCTCAAATCTCAACTGCCTGAATCGATTGGATTACAGGTGTAATATATAATTACCAGCATTATGTGCTGCATTCTTGACAGGTCATACCACTCTGGCTCTCTGCTACTCATTCAAGACATAATGGAAAATAGAGAATCAGCCCAACCACTTCACTTTGTACAAGAGGGCCTAATCCAAACCTCAATCTCCTCATTACACCAAACACAGAGCATTTGATCTGTGTCAAGAACAGTACTCCTCCACTGATATGATATGGTCTGGGAAAGATCAGCTGGAGGAGGCAGAAGAGAAATGAAATGGAGATGATAAACTATTTCTGAATCTTTTATATTTGAAGAATTGCTAGTCATCCTAGTGCCAGTGTCAGACATGGAGTGACCATAACATAGCCCATTGTATTATTAGTGCATGCTAAATAGAAAATAAAATTTAATTAGAAATGAGCAGCAATAGGCACTCAGAAAAGAAACTCTGTGTTAGACCCACAATTCCATGATGATTTGCATATCATTTCAAAGATCAACAGCTGGTCCTTGATATTTTCTTTTTTTCAGTGTTTAGCTCTTATTTTCTCCATTTCTCCCTTGTTTATTAAATATATGTTTTATTGTTAAGATACTGTACAAAGTGGTTACGGTTACATGAGTAAGGTAATGAGTACTTCTCCTATCGAGCATTGTTCCCCCTTTTTTTAAAAATGTTTTTTATTGTAAAAATACTGTACAGAGTAGTTACAGTTACATGAGTAAGGTAAAGTGTACATTTCTTATCTAGCATTGTTGCCTCCTCCTTTGTTTTTTCTTTATCATCCCTTCCTTGTCCACCTCCCCAAGAACTCCTCTGACAATGCCAAAGTGGTAAAGTTCTTTTTCAATATAGTGTCTTGTACATCTCCTGGTTAAAATTGGTCAACCTGTATCCCTATTTAAGCAGTTTGTTTTTTCCTTGCCCTTCCCAAATTAGGAAAATGTATATACAAGATGCAGGGCACCAGAATCCAATACATTGAAAACAGGGGTTATGCCATGGGGGTGGAACATACCAAAGAAACAAAAAAATCACATGGTCATTATAAATACCTTAAAAAAGAAAGAAAAAACCACTTGTGTTCCTATCTTGGTGTTCATTTCGCTTAACATCAACTTATATGGTCATAAGTACATAGCTTTCAACCTTTTCTGCTTCCCCTAGACATATAGTAGTTGTTACAAATAATGGAAACCATGGGTTCTTTAAATACAAAAAATGCAATTGAGGAGAGGGGAATATGGGTATTCTCAAGATGAAGCCTGTAATAGATTAGAAAATACAATCAGAGATGTAATGAAGGTGCAGTGGGTGTTTCTTCTAAGGGAAGTATGGTTAACGGTAGCCCTGGAACTCTGCATGAAGGTGCATGTGTGTTCCTGCCATGTTACTGTAGATCATTCCACTGGCTTGCATGGACTGAAGATTAGGAAGGACAGATGGGGAATTTCTCTAACTAACAGACTCACCTGTCACATTAGAAATCTCATTCTCTGGGCAAGGAGTGCAATCAAAGCAACAGGTAGCATTTCCCTCCAGAGAGGCCTTCCTGAATCCAGGACCACAGCTCTCACTGCACACAGACTGAGGAGTCTGAGAATATTCAGATGAAAGTTAGTGACCATTTATCCTTTTACCTGACATCTGAGACACTCCAGTGATTTAGGGGAAATGATCCTCAAAACACATAATATTTATATGCATACAGAAATTGAATTTACTGAATCTTCTTACAGTTTCATCTGACATGAGCTGAAGAACATGTGGGGCCTGAACACCCAGCACTCATACTATCGGGAAGTCATGGAGCCTTGAAGTGTTGGATGTTAATTCTAGGAAATTAGGAAATGGAAGTTAATCCTGCATCCTATTCTTGAATTCAGGTGATCTGTTTACAGATGAATAAGAGCATGAGAAGAAAATCACTCAGGGAAATTTCAAACCCACGCTCTAAAGCATGGCTAATTGCTTTGGAGGTGTGCTGTACCCAGGGCCATTCACATCTCTCTTGGCTTCCTAGCTGTCAGAAAGTGGGTGAATTTCTCTGGCAGATGCTCTTTTCATTACATCCTGTCTCACTAGACTAAGAAGCAACAATCTATCCAACCATGGTCTGAAATCTCCAGGCAGAAGCAAAGCAAGCCCTTCTGCCTTCTCATTTGATTCCCTCAGATATTTTGTCACAGTGCTGGAATGATGATTCACAGGTGTCACTTTTATGATATTCATTATGCAAACATAGAACAACATATTGGTCATGATATGTTCCTCTGTTTCGTCCATGAATTTTGTTAGTAAGAAACTTCCAGAAACAGAAAGTTTTGAAATGTACACCACTGAGCCATAGTTTTATTGAAGAAACTTTAAAACAGGATAAGCTTATTGCTCATTTATACATAGATCATGCCATTATGGTTAGAAACGACTGACCCTGGGGGAGAAATAAGGATGTGGTGACATTGTCTACAAGCATTGTGATCATAACCTGGCTTAGGGAATTGTAAGCTCTTTCTACAACTACTTCCTAATAACAATACATTTTTATAAAGGAGAGAGTAACAAAAGTAGAAATGACCCACCTTGGTAATTCCTATGGGCCACTCTATCAGATTTTCAAACAAAATCAGTTGTTGATCATGTGGCCTAGATGGAGAAAACTTGCCAACTTTCACCTTTTGTCCCAGACCTTCTGGAAAATTCCAAAAGCTCTTAATGTCATACTCTGCCTCCAAGTTCCTTTCCTCATTCAAAACCACTTGGTCTCCAACAGGATTGGTAAATTGGATATTCTTCAAAAAGGGATGCAGCTAAAAGGGACACATTACAGTATGGTGAGGTGCTTCCCAGTGTTATCACAGAACCGAAGAACAATGAATTACTCTTCATTCCCATCCCCTGATTCACACACCACAGGAAGCCAACCAACTGTATCAAATGCAGTCCCACAGCAGACTAAAGTGCTACCAAGTTCATAAACCTGGGAATCCAGGATGGGATGCAGAAACTCAATTTCAAGGGAATGAAACTGCAGCCATAACCAATCAAATATGAATTATCACATGATAGACCTCAACGGACTCTCTAAATTGCATTCCAATCACTAATTTTGTGATTCTGATCAGAGAATCAGTCTGAAATATGGGTAAATAATAAACTACGTAGAATCATAGAATATTTTTCACAACTATGAAAGATTACCTTAAGCAAGACTTAGTTCACTGCGTGTGTGTGTGTGTGTGTGTGTGTGTGTGTGTGTGTGTGTATGTGTGTGTGTGTATGTCTGTGTCTGTGTGTGTATGCCTGTACTTTGGTGTGACCTCACAGCTTAGGCACTCAACTTGGTATTTTTTTTTTTGTTCTTTTCAAAGTAATCATTCTGTCCATTGAGCCACAGCTCCCCCTCTGTCTTTTTGGTGGTCAATTGTAGTCATGAGTGAGCCACAGGTGTGAGCCACTTGTGTCTAGGCAAAATTAGGTTTTCAAGAACTAGTCACCCTTAGAGAAGATCTTCACTAGCCATACAACGGATAAGGGTCTCATATCTAAAATATACTTGGAACTCAAAAAATTAAATGCCCCAAAAACAAATCCTCAAAGAAACAACTGCCCAATAAATAAGTCGGCTAAAGACTTAAAGAGAAGCTTCTCTGAAGAGGAACTAACGATGGCCAGTAGACACATGAAGAAATGCTCAACCTCCCTATCCCTAAAAGAAATGCAATTCAAAACAACGTTGAGATAACACCTCACTCCACTTAAAATGGCTAAAATAAAGAACTCTAATAACAACAGATGCTGGAGGGGATGTGGACAATAGGGAACCTTACTGTATTGTTGGTGGGAGTGTAAACATGTTTAACCACTTTGAAAAGTAGTATGGAGGTTCCTCAAAAGACTCCACATAGAGCTCTGCTATGACCCAGCAATCCCACTTTTGGGCATTAACCCAAATGTTTACAAACAAGACCACACTAAAGCTACTAGAACGACTATGTTTATTGCAGCATTATTTAACTACAGCTAAGATGTGTAACCAACCCAGATGCCCCTCAGTAGATGAATGGATCAAGAAAAAGTGTTATATATACAAAATGGAACTCTATGCCTCCATCAGAAAGAATGACATTGCCCAATTTGTTAGGAAATGGAAAGGCTTGGAAAAAATTATATTAAGTGAAGTAAGCAAGGCCCAAAGAAACATAGTTCCCATGGTTTCCCTTATTAGTAATATCTAGTATATGTCTGAGTCAAGTAGAAAAGTTCAGATAAGGTGATGTTAGGGAAATGAACCCTAAGATACGAATTCAAATGATTTTTTCTTTCATGGGATTGTTTCTAACACATTAATAAGATTATTTCTCTGTTGCTTTGTATGTCCCTCTCCCACAGTATACAGTATAATCCCTGCTTTCACTATATTTGATGTTGGTATATTTTTTGGAGGGGAAGGGGAAAAAGAATCGTTTAAATAGGGATACAGGTGGACCCATTGCAACAATGAGTTGTACAAGTGGTTATGTCGAAAACAAACCTCACAGCTTTGGTTCAGGGCGTGGGGGAGGATAGCATAGGGAGGACGGGGGGGGGGAGGTGGCCGATGGGAAGGGATGGGAAGGGGAAACAAAGGAGGAGGCTACAACGCTTGTTAAGAAATGTACTCATTATCTTGCCCATGTTATTGTAACCCCTCTGTATAGAATTTTCACAATAAAAAAACTAGTCAGTCTTAATCTGTTATTTTAAAAAGGCACAAGGATTATTTGAATATATCCTGTTGAAAAGGGGATGGCTTTTTCCACACATAGTGAGGATGGGGACAGAAGACACAGCACTTTCTTGTCACAGATGCAGCGTTCTTCAAAAACATTGTCTACACAGCTCTACCATCACTTCATGGAGAGAAAACAGACTCTCTTGTATTTGCCAAAACGGTGCCAGACAACCTAGTTGCATCTGCTATGAAAGCTTATATAGAAGTTCTGCATGCCTAGAGTAGGGCACCCAAAAGAAAAGCCATTACCTGTGAAGAGAGAAATGCCCTGTGTTGCCCATTGTGCACTCTTGGCTCTTCCATGTAATGAAGACACATCTGGTGGAGGGCATGGGCCACAGCATACACAGCATTGTAGATGTTGTAACTCTCATCTGACATGGTCATGTCAAAAATGTGCCTCAGCAACCAATGCAGTGTGGCATTGTATGAACAGTGCCCCAAGTCTCTGCAGTCAGACTTAATCAGTAGGCTATAAACAGACTGAATCCATGACCTGAGAAGGGAGTTATTTGCTGAGTTCTTGGTGAAGGTCTCTGTCAGAATAAAATTGGTGAACCCAGCAGTGTTTCTATGATGGTGAGAGAAGATAAGAGGTGCATGGAAAGAGTCAATCAGAAAATGTCTTTTAGCAATAGTCACATCATCATAGGGTGAGTTCAGGACCCAGACTTTGCCTGTAATTAAAAAGTGCCTACATTTAAGAATGAAGCCTAGTAGAAATTTACTGTCCGCATAAATGATAATCACATTGGTTGATAAGTCCATTAGCTGGCGCTGCATCGATAGATCATTTGAGTAATCTGAAAGGACATTGTAAGTGATCATGTTCTCAAAGGCAAAGCAGACTCTACTCTTGCTCATCTCTTCTCTCAATTCTGAGAGGAACCACATACCATTGTTGTCTTCAGTGATGAATAGTCCCACCCAGTTCCAGCTGAAATGAAGCATCAAGGAGACCATGGCCAGGGCTAGACCTGAGTCCTTGGCAGCCATCTGATAGACAGTACCAAACTTTCCATGGTTACTCAGGAGAGGATCAAAAGACCTAAAGGTGAACTACAGGAACAAATGGAAACAACATCAGGAAGAGGATGGTCATAGGCAAATCTCAGTCCTGATGTGAATGACACAACAACTGGTAGTACAGAGGTGGGAACAAAAGTTTGCTTATCCCATTTGCAAAGTCATCTCCCATGTTCTGAACTCTTTGTAGACATGTACAGATAAGGCTCAGAGCTTTGGGTCATCCTTTCCTCTCAATACCCCTCCTTTTATTTGCAGCAATGAAAATGTGTATGTCCCACCCACTTTTGGAGGCTTCTCCCTGTGAGATTATGCATTTGGAAGGGTTTGTGATACCACCTCCTCTTCAGCCTGTTGAGGACAGTCACTGTGGATATGGCTTCACATCTGCCCACCACTTCCAGCCTCACCTGTGGAAGTTTATAGAGGTCCAGCAGTGTCCCTATTGGGAAGAATGTGCTTGAGATTCCTGTGAGTGCCGCTATAGCTTTGCTGTCTCTTCTGCAGGTGTAATTAGGGATGTTTTTATTCTTCCCAGACAGCCAGGTGAGTGGATCCTCTAACAGATCAGTACCTGAGTAATGCACAGTGTAGATCTCAAACCCCAGAGTCATGTTGGGTAGCAGATGGGGATTCTTGTTGATCTCCTCCACAGCCAGCAGCAGGGTGAGAAGCAATTGGTATTTCTTTAAGTTGATCCTGCACAGAAATCACAAAATTTGGGTAGGTATACAAGTATTACAAATGATTAACTGCAAATCTCATGACTTTGTTGAATCAAATGTTGATTTCTACACACAGTAATATGTATAGATCCAACGGGATGGCATTCTAATTTGTAGTCTAAGAAAAGTTCTTAGAATTGGGAGAGTTCCTGAACAGGCTTGATCAGCATACATGAGATGACTATTCTTCTGAGTTGCAGAGAGAGAGAGGGTGGGGGGAGTGATCCAGCTGGCTTTTCCTCTCTGCACCTTATGGATATGTGAAAAACACTGCTGTCTGCTGTGACATAGGAACAGGCCCAGCTCACATACCAAATCATTTAGTACCTTATATTAGCTGTGCATATGGAAAAACTCTTAAGAAATACAATTCCAGTTGGGAATAGATTGTCCACCTGAGTTCAACCAGTATGAGCAGAGAGGCAGGGCCTGCTGTGTTAGGAGTAAATAGGAAAGCAGGCTGCTTTGTGTCTGTGCTCGCTTGCCACACATTTGCCAATGGTGCATCCTTCTGCAAAGAAGTGAATCTTGTCTTGTGAGGAAAGTAAAGAAATCACAGAACTACAATCAATGGCATGTGATAGAGGCACACTAAGCTGACTCAGAGAATGTCATCATTCTAGGGGATTCCCCAGAACAGAGCAAGATGGCATCCCAGAAAGCTAGAACATAAAGATTGCCTCAGCCAACAAAGAGCAGACGAGAGTCAGGGAGTGTGGACTGGAGGATACTTCTCTAGTAGAACAAACAACAGAAAAGGATGTGTGAAAAAAGGGGGAAGAAGCCATCTCCATGTTTTTCCCCATTATCAGCATTAGTTGCTCATTATGCACAGAAACCCTCCAACATTGCAGGGAGGGAGAGAATTAAAGTTAAATCTCAGCACCATCCCCATACACTCAGACCAGTGCTGGGGAAGTGCTTATAGTTTCTACTTTTGGGTCCAGACCTTAAATTGTGCTTCTGGAACTGGTTTAGGGCAGAGAAGGAAGACGCTGCCACAACCTCCCTCCTCCAATCTTGTGAATGACAGCAGGTATGGGATACAACCTCTTAGTGATCAGGGCAGAAGATTGGGTCAGAGTTTTTCTTAGAACCCTTTGTCAAGCATGTCATGGTTGCACCCATAATCCAGAATAAACTAGAAGCATTGTTTGGTGCAAGCACCACAGCTTCCATTAGAATCTTTCAGGAGGATTTGGAAGGTCGCTGAGGCAGAACCAAATGCCATTTCCATCAGTTTTCACCATGGGTGGAGTAGGCTGACACCTGTCTTCTTGCTTAGCCTTGTGAAGCCACTGTGGCTATGTGACTCTGTTGTTATCTGGCTCAGTCCAGTCTCATTGCACAGTGAATTATTTCAGGACCACTGCCCTAGAAGGACAGTGCTCAAGATGGCACCAGGCAGAAACTGAAGTTTCTCTAGGAATCCAGTGTGCATTGGTCTACAGCAGCATAAGCTAGATTGTGGCTTAAGTGTATCCACATGACAGTTTGGGCTTTGGGGATGCTAGATAGCCTGAGTAGATGGTGGTGTTCACCAAGATGGTCCTGGGGCTTACTTTATTGTTTTTGTTGATTGTGTGGCTTGAACTCTAGGCCTGGGATCTGACCCTAAAATCTTCAGCTTAAGACTAGCTCTCTAGCACTTGAGGCACAGCGCCACTTCTGGCTTTCTTTTGTTTTACTGGAGATAAAAGTCTCACAGACTTTTCTGCCTGGGCTGGCATTGAACCCCGGTCCTCAGATCTCAGCCTCCTAAGTAGCTAGAATTCTAGGTATCAGCCACCCATGCCCAGCTTGTGGCTTCCTTTACAAACCTTACCATGCTTCTGTAGCATTGCATGGTTTTCCATCCCAATTATAATAGGTAAGACAGGGAAGTAAGATGGTGATATTGTCCTACAGCTTAGTGTGGGCTAGATAATAGCAGTAGAACTGTATCATGACCATATTGCCAGGACAGCCTTTGGTAGACTCTGTAATCACCTCAATACCTGAGAAAGTCATCTACCACCAGACAATCTGAATTTTATATTAGCTATCACTAATTGTATATGGTTGTGGGCATCTTGGCTCATGAGCACACCTCTACCATATTCAACCTGAGTCAATCTTAGTACTCACCCAGTACTGTATTGGTCTTGATCGCAGTAGACTGAGGATGATGTACTCAGGCAGGATAGGAAAATGAGGCCTGGTTAATGCATGCCAGGAATTCAAAAACTCAAGCTTAAAACTTGTCCATCTACTTCCCTTAATGTTAAGGGAATGACGTCATTTAGGGGGAAATGGAGTAGAATAGATTAGTAAAATATGATGTATGGGAAGCTCACAGCAAACAGAGAGCTATTCATCCATCTACATATCTTGAGATTGAGGGACCAGGGCTGGGAAGGTGGCTCAGTGGTAGAGCGCTTGCCCTGCATGCCTGAGGTCCTGGGTTCGACCCCTCAGCACCACATAAGCAAAAAGAAAAAAAGCCGGAAGTGGCGCTGTGGCTCAAGTGGTAGAGCTCTAGCCTTGAGCTGAAGAGCTGAGGGACAGCGCCCAGGCCCAGAGTTCAGGCCCCACGACCGCACCCAAAAAAAAAAAAAAAAGATTAAGGGACCAAAGTCATTGAACACAAAAAGAAGCTGGATCAATTAAGGAAAAAAATGAGTCCTAGAGAAGGCAACTCAGAAACATGTGATTTCGAAACACAGGGCTACCATCTTTACTTCAAAGAGAGGAAACAGGTTGAATTGCTTCCTGAGAGATGAATTCATCATATGAATTAGCAGTTGTCTTGTAGGGCAAATGCCTTCCCCACAAGACACTCCCCAAAACGTAAGCAACATCCTATGCCAAATATAGACAACAGCACACCTTCCTTCCCTCAAGGATAATCATCTGGAAAGAATGGCCAAAACATACAGAAACTCAGAAAGTGTAACACCAGGAATGATTAGAGCAAAGATGACAAACCTATGTTTGTGTAACTTTTAAGTCAGACCTCCTGCCTTTACCATCTGAATACCCCTGGAAGCCCAAGAGCTGAGTGTCTCTTCTCAATTACAGTGTGTCTTTGCCTTTCTGTTTCTTGTTTGTCTACCTGCTTGTTTCATTGCTTCCTTACTGAGAAAAGCTCTGCCACATTTCCATCCTGTTGTGACTTGTCTAGAATTTCTTCTTCTGGGATCAGAGTCCAGGATCCCAAGTGAAGAGTCCCTACTTTTAGAGTGAAACTTCATTAACCTTCATCTGTTTTGGTGATCCTGCTGTTTGGTATTCCAAGTGTAATAGAGCTCTGGTGGCACAGCTGTGTCTAACGCCAGTTCCAGCACACAGATCTTGCTATTGCTAGGCAGAATCGACGCACAAGGCCATTCCCTGTGGATGAGGCATATGGGACCCCTGTGCACCCAGGAGAAGGCATATTTGGACCCATGACTCATTGGGGTTCTCGTGAGGTTTTTAGAACCACAGAGTATTTGTCACCAAATTAGCCTTTAGTTTTCTCTGGTACTGAAATGGTTTATCACCTCACAGCTGACTTCTCACAGGCCCTGGGCTCCATCTAGTGTTGACATTGTGGAAGTCACGACAGACTCAGGAACACTGAAGCCTGCCTGGGATTTCTGGAAAGACAGGCACAAAGCCAGACCAGTCAGACTGGTATAATTTGGAGACATTTCAAAGGCCAGATGGTATCACATGCCAATATGAATGAAGAATGTTCCAGAATGATGAATTCTCCTAGCATTCAATATAATCATTTTAGGGAAATTCTCATAGAGAGAATCTCAACTCTCATGGATGCTTGCTGATGTCATTGTGTACAATGTAACTGAGGCTTTGACATCTAGAATGACAGTAATACTAAATATGAATTGGGAACTGGTGGCTCAGGCCTGCAATTATAACTACTCTGGAGGATGATATAGGAGAATTATGTTTTGTAGTCACTTTGTGCAGGAATGTCTGTGACACTCTTTATGTGCAAGCAACTCCACAGAAACTGGTACAGAGCTGTAGGTCAAGTGGTAGAGTGCCAGCCATGAGAGAAAAAATGCTAAGGGACAGCCATCAAGACTTGAGATGATGCATGTGTACCAGAATGTATGTGAACATGCACACACACACACACACACACACACACACACACACACGCACACACACACACACACACACACAGCTCATTAGAGTTTCCAATGCTGGGTTTACACATGAGCCCTATCTTTCTCACTCACTTCCTCACCACATTGATTTGGCTTAAATATCTCTCATAAATCTATCATGGAATAAAGTATTCTTCTCCTGAACAAACCCTATACAGGGTGTTTCCACACAACTTGTCTGAGAAGATTCATCCATGACTTATCTAGTTTACAGAGAATTCTATAGATCTGAAAGTAATGAGCTCACCTGGGTCAAATGCATGAATGAAACTGTGTATAAAAATTATGAAAAAGCCAGGCACCTTTGCTCACGCCTATTATCCTATCTACTCAGGAGGCTGAGATCTGAGGATCAGGGTTCAAAGCCAGCCAGGGCAGAAGTGTCCATCAGACTCTTATCTCCAATAAACCACTAGAAAATTGGAAATGGCACTGTGGCACCAGCAATCGAGCGCTTGTCTTAAGCTGAATAGCACAGGGACAGCATCCAAGCCTAGAGTTCAAGACCCATTACTGACAATATATATGGAAAACACATTAAAATCTAGTTTAGGAAGTTATGAGCAGGGAAAAATAAATAAGCCTGGAAACATTTGGAGAACAAGGAATGGAAACAGAGTTTCTGGGAATGACATAGGAGACAGGCCAAGACATGGATAGCAGGACAGAAGCTTACTTACATTAGTTAAGGGGAAAAAATATAAAATGTGTCATGCATTTCCCATTACTGATCTGTCCAGCAGCTCCCCATTTCCAGAGTTTTGCTGACATGAATTAACCCCAGAAGCAGAAATTGCATGTCTATCCTAAGAAACATTGCCCTGAAGGCGGTACAAACATTGGCCCTGTTTTGAAAAGTATAAAAAACAGAATGGATTGAAGGAGACAGGCCAAGACATGGATAGCAGGACAGAAGCTTACTTACATTAGTTAAGGGGAAAAAAAATAAAATGTGTCATGCATTTCCCATTACTGATCTGTCCAGCAGCTCCCCATTTCCAGAGTTTTGCTGACATGAATTAACCCCAGAAGCAGAAACTGCATGTCTATCCTAAGAAACATTGCCCTGAAGGCGGTCCAAACATTGGCCCTGTTTTGAAAAGTATAAAAAACAGAATGGATTGAAGATTCCCTGGCCTTTGCCCTATAGATGGGGACATTGCACTTTAGTGTCTTTGTATGGACTCTTGGTCACCCCAGTAACCCTAACAGTGATGAATGGAGGAGTCACAGTGATGGTGGGGTGGTCGGGACATCTCTGGAAAGGGGAGTAGAATGGAAGACAGACAGAAAACTCTGTACCCTTGGAAGAAAGAAAAATATTCATTAGGAAAACTTGAAATGAAGTAGAGCTGTTGTAGTGAGGGCAGTGTAGAAGATGCAGAGCACATCAGTGATTGTGTCCAAACTTCCCCCACATCTGACTGTAACACAAAGAGAAAATTCAAAATTTAAGAAAATCCAAGAAATCACTTACTGAATGTTCTGTTGCTGCAGGGTAGGGTCATTCAAGCCTTGACCGACCAATTCCCAAGAATAGAGGGGGTAAAATCCAGCAATGACCACATCTCCCTTGCTGCATGCCACAGATTTCTCTGTCCAAATGCATCTTCCATCTTCAGAGAAAGTGATCAGGAGAGGATGCTGGAGGAGAAGCAGTGTCAGAGCCACAGGGAACATTGCTGCTGCTTTGACATGGAGCTGTGTTTCTGGATGCAGACTGTGCCTGCAGCGTCAGGCAGGTGTCTAAATGGATCTTCAGTTTTTGTGGCTTCTTGTTTCCTGGATGTCCTCCACTGTCCTCGAGGAATACAGAGCCCGTTCTGCCCTCTGGCTCTGCATCTGGTGCCCAGCTTCAAGGTCAAAACAGAAGTTAGAAAACATGTGTACCATCTTCCTCTCCACACCCTCAGGACCATGATTTCATCCAAGACTGTAGATAATGAAACTCCAGGGATGGATTCCTCTCTTGTTGAGTTGTTCACAAATTTGTGTGAAAGCAAAAAGTTGAAAACAAAAAAGCACAACCAATCAAGGGTCACTAAGGATGATGGGAATGGATGACAGCAGTGGATGCCATGTGAAGGTCAAATGATCATAGAGCACCATGGCCAGCAAAGGCTCAGTCAGAGTTATTGGAGCACCGTCAAAGATGAGGATGGGCAGGCTCACAACCTAGGGAAAAGGGAGACACCGAAGTTTGGTGAAATGACCCATTCAGGTTTTTATACCAACTGCACATGCACAAGAATCCAGAAGAGCTCAATATATTTATTTACTGTTGCAGGTGTTACCAACAGTGTCCTGGAATCCTACCATTACAGATCAATACTTCAAGTTCAATGCATTTATCCAATTAGACATTTGCACTCTGAATCTTGAACTTCTTCAGTGCTTGCATGTTGTTGACCATCAGACTGCACTTATCAATATATGGACAGTCCATTGTTAGACAGAGGTGTTCTATGATCTATGACTATCTGGGAACATAGCAGGCCTGCACACTGAGGATCCTGGTAGCTGTGGGTGTATGGATGGGTCTTGCTCTGCTGTGTCCACATCATGTCCTGAGTGCTCCGGGAATTCTTTTTCCCACTTGGACAGCTGTATGGTGCCAGCTCTGTCCATGTCTCCCTAGCTGTCTTCTCTACTAGTTTCTCATACTAGAAGTGAAACCAAGGTCACAGCATAGGTTCCTGCTCTGCACAGAGTTCACCATGGTGGCTGGTTCTGTGAACTGGCTGCATATATTTATGAGGAAGGGCTTGGCAAATGTAAGTTGGAAAAGTAAGGATGCAAATGCTATTTGGTGATGGTAGCTGGCAAGACCTTGCAAGAGCATCAGTGCTGGTCCTAGCCTGACTTGGGTTTGGAGGTAGAAATCTTTGTTGCTTCTATACCCAGGATTATCGGTATGAGCCAGCTGTGCCTGGCTCAGAGGACAAACTTTTATCCCATTCTCCTCATCTATTACTCGAACTATTTCTGTTCAGTCTGCCCAAGAGAACAGGCCCTCCCCACTTCTTCTTCACTTGCCTGAAACCAGTAGTCACCTGTTAATCACCTGACTTGGAGTCAGCAAAGGACCCCACAATCTGAGGTCACTTCCTCATCCACGGAGGTCACTTCCTGGACCATCCTGGTCACACCTCTGTAGGACAGTGATAAGTTCCCCAGACTCTGTGGTCACTTCCACATCCGCTGTGGTCCCGTTCTTCTTTTTATTTTCTTCTTATTCCTTTTCCTCTGTCTTCTCCAGGGGCTTCCATCTCCTGAGGGTGGCCAGTTTGCCTTTTCTGCCTGAACCGTGTATCAGGTTTCCTTGCTGGAGAAGCTAACAATTTCTACTTCATTATCATTGATATCTACTCTAGTACTCTATGCCTTCTTCTCCCTACATTTCAAAAATAAGAGAAAACTTGGGGATCTCTGTTGCCTCTATGGGTGTGCTTTCTTTCTGGTATGTCTGTTTGTTTGTCTGTGTGTATTGTAAATGTGTTGTACAGAAGAGTTACCATTATGTAAATCAGGTAGTGAGTACATTTCTGTTTTTAAAATGTTACCCAGTTTTTCCCTCCCTGCCCCACCGAAAGGTTGTATGCTTCATTGTTCACACGGTGTCCAGTATATACCACTGCTGCATTTGCCAGGGTGATTAACTGAACACGATGTTCTCCACTTCCACCCATATTCTTGACTCAAACATATAATTGCATGCTCAAGACTCCTTGTGTCTGTGTGATTCAATTTACTTTTTCCATTCATGTGTTGATTGGAACAGAGCCTGGTTCTGCAACTCAGCTTCTAAGTAGTGTCATGATAAACACTCACCATATGTAAACATAGACATAACAAACACCAATATTTGTGTGTGTGTAATATGCATGTAATATTATATCTTTTGTCGTATTATGTTACCAAAGGAGTTATAATATTCCTTTTGGCCATATCTCCATTAGTGTCTGTTATTATTAATTTTCTGAATAATCAATCAACTTATTTATTGCTAATTATTTTATAATGAGTTATATTTTATGAAACTTAAGATGTACTCCTCTGCTACTTACTTGAACATTTTGTGGGTATAAAAATTGAATATGGGAAGTGGTGCTGTGACTGAAGTGGTAGAGTGCTAGCCTTGAGCTGAAGAGCTGAGGGACAGTGCCAAGGCCCAGAGTTCAAGCCCCACAACACACCAAAAAAAAAAATGAAGACTGTTTTTGCTTCTGAAATCATTTTGTATCCAAATGAAACCAATTTGTTTCATCAATTCCCTTTCTCAAGACTTTCATTTATTAACTTCCCTTGGTCATGAGATTTGAACTCTGGGTCTAGGTGCTGTCCCTCAGTTTTCAGCTCAAGGAGAATGCTCTATCCCTTGAGCCACAGCACTGCTTTTGGTTTTCTGGTGGTTAATTGGAGATAAGTGTTGTATGAAGTTTCCTGCCTGGGCTGGCTTTGTACCCTGATCCTCAGATCTCAACCTCCTGAGTAGCTAGGATTACAGGTGTGAATCACTGGCACCTGGATTCCTTACTGAGTTTTTAAAAATTACATGTTTAATTAACTCTTTGAAAACATTTGATCTCAAAATGACATTTTTAAAGATGTAAAGTAGTAATCCTTAGACAAACTGGTTGTAAATTGATATTTCCCATTTGGTTTTAAAGCAGGGAGAACAGGAGAATCACATGTAGACTGACATTGCATGAAGAGTCCAAACTTAACAAACTTGAGGGATCTCAGACCATCTCTTGGTGTTTTCAAAATGCAGCTGATTGCATCACTTTACATATCACTCTTGTAACTTTCTTCAGGTAATATTTGAAGGAAAGCAACTTTTAGTTAAAAACACTCATATATTGGCATTTTGGTGTGTAAAGAATTGAGCAATAATAATAATAATAAAAGAATTGAGCTATAGCTGAGAGCCCATGGCTCAAACCCATAATCCTAGCTACTCAGGAGGCAGAGATTTGAGGATCACGGTTCAAAGCTAGCAGTGGCAAAAAACTTCCTGAGACTCTTATCTCCAATAAACCACTCAGAAAACTAGGAGTGGTGCTGTGGCTCAAGTGGTAGATTGCTTGCCTTGAGCTGAAGAACTGAGGGACAGAGCCTAGGCTCAGAGTTCAAGCCCTATGACCGACCAAAAAAAAAAAAAAAAAAAAGGATCGAGTAACGTAAATTAGGTTTTACATTGAAGTAAATATCTAACCAAAGCCAGGAAAATTTAAATGTAATTTCTACTTTTTTTCTTTGTCCCTTAAAGGAAACCACAATGGGAAAATACGTATGTAGAGCAAACTGCACATTATCTATCTGACCCATATCTATAAGAAAATAGAAAATCTGAACACACACTGCATGATTGTTTTATCAAAAGAATCCTGGGGGGATGGGGAAAGAAGGCAAATATGAGTTTGGATGAGTTAATTTTGGCAAGAAGTGGCAAAATAAGAGAAGAAAAATAAGAAAACCATAAAACTCAAGGCAATATTCTTAGCTTTGGATGGTCTCAAAGCCAGTTAGAAAATTTCTACCTTCTATCCCTTTGGCTGGTGGAAGCTACCAGTACATTGCCAGAACCTCCTGGGAACATACGCAGAGACTTCCAGATCACAGTACCCAGTCTGGTTGGTCCATGAGCTGTTCACCACCTGTTAGTGCAGGAGTGCGGCTTCTGCCTCTGGGAGTTTCCAGATCCACCCCTACCAGGCCAACCGACCTAGGGTGCAGTCCCCACGGGGTGCATCAAGCGGTCTCCAGACATGACAAGCAGCATGTCTGAGCTGCTTAGCCCCTGCACATGGTTTGGCGCCTCTGGGGAAGATGGGGCTCAGGATCCTGCTCTGGAAGGGGAAGGATACTCCCAGCATGCCCTGGGGCATGGGGCAGTGAGCATCATAGGAAGGAGACCTTGGCCTTGAGCACGAGGGGCTGCATGTGGCTAGGGCCTTGTTCATGTCTGAGGGTTTGTTCAGCAACACCAACTCGAGGCAGATCTGAGCAGCAAGTCTAGGGAGCACGGGTGGGATCCATAGCCTATTTCTGCTATTCTGGCCCCTCTCCGGGTTGAGATGACTCACCTGCAATGTATGGGCATCTCCTTTCATTTTTTTCCTGCTCAGGCAGATTTGGTTGGTTTTCTTTTTTAAAAAAAAATTATGTTTTTTTTTATTGTGAAAATACCGTACAGAGGAGTTGCAATTACATGAGCAAGGTAATGAGTACATTTCTTATCAAGCATTTTTGCCTCCTCCTTTTTATCCCCTTCCCATCCCTGCCCTCCCATCTTCCCACCCTTCATGTCCCTCCTTTGATTGGTTTTTATTTAATATATTGGGTATTTTTTGCTCTCCCCCTTTTTATTTCCTGGTATCTGCTGAGCCTTTGGCATCATTGGCACTGCCCACAGTGGCATCCACAGACCATTGTGAGAAAAGACATCACTTGCTTTAAAAAAATTAAAGACAGGATTGATGGTTTTCAGAGTTGGTTGGTGAGAAGATAAGGGAAAAAATTAATTTATGGAAAAAATCGTGTGTGTGTGTGTGTGTGTATGTGTGTGCCAGCCATGGAAATCAGGACCCAAACTCCCTTTCTTGGCTTTGTAATTCACAAGTGGCATTTTACCATTTGAGAAATACCACGCGTCCTGTATTCTTACTTGTAAGTTAAAGATGGAGTCTCATACACTTTGTTGTCCAGGCTAATTTTGAATTGTGATCCTCAGATCCAAGCCTTCTAAAGTAGCCATTGATGTCTGACTTGAAAAAATTGCGTTTATAATATTGAAATTAATAATGAATTTACTAATAGACTTCCAAAAGAATGTGAAAAGTTAATACAT